GCCATCCCCTCTGGAAGGTGATTTCTCACTTTTTCTCTCTGGCAAGCACACATGCCTTATAGCAAATTTACCTGTGTGTGTGTATAATATTACATATTACATTATGTATATATTACGTATACATGTACATATTATTTATTGTTCATATATGATTTTATATAATACATCATTTATATACATTGAGTTGTCAGAAAAGTCATGACACATTTTTGCATAGAAAATAATACGTCATGACTTTCCCGACAACCCGATATATGTAATTTATATATATGTATTTGTTTTAATGGGGAGCACAGGGTTGGTGAATACTAGAGCACAGTGCAGTTTGTTGCTTATAGACTAGAGGAACGCTGAACCGTCTGATGCACTCAGAAGGCAGGTGGTGGGTCACACTGAGCTTGTCCTGAGTCCCTCACTCAGCTTACCGCCTGGGCCTGGCCTTCTTCATGCTCTTGGGGCAGACCTCTCCATTGCTACATGCCTGCCTGGCCCTCCAGGTGAAGGTGCCCAAGAGAAGTCTTAGGACCCCTTCCAGTTCTGATATTCTCTGCTTCTAAAGAAAGTGCTCTTTGTGTTCTTTCTCTTATGTAGTTCTACTTGCAAACCTTTCTATTCGGAGGTCAGCAGAAATCCCCACCCTGGCAATTTAATGTTTCTGCTCCCTGCCTAAGAGGTGTGAAATCATGGCCCGCCCCTCAGTAGCCAAGTTCATTTTCCATGAATGTGTCAATGGTGATGTCCAAATAGCTTCTGGCTTAACACATGTGCACCGGCTCTCTGGTCTCTGGCCCATCACGGATCGGCCTGGGCAATAAGGAGGCCTTGCCGTCAGGCAGGCGATAGTGATGTCTGGTGAGCTGACCTGGTATGGTGGCCTGGTATGGTGGCCTCTGACTTCCTGGAGCCCTCAGTGACCCTCTCCTGGGAGAGAAGATGCTCTGTAAAGGGCATTTTCCCAGGAAAGTCAGGGGCTTCCTAAACACACAAAGCTCCTGGAAGCCCAACCTGCTTAAAATCGCATTTACTTTTGTGTGTTCCTGTCTTAATTACATTTTTTTATTTTTTACTAGCATCCTTATTCACCACAGAAAGCAACTTTCAAACATAATTATGCAATTATCCCTTCCCCTCAACGCAGCAGCTTCCTGTTTGGGGTTTTCAGCTCTTTATCCTCGTGCGTCCGTACATACAGCATAGCTGTCATCAGAGTTTACGTATTATGGGCCAAATGTGCAGTGCCAGAATTCAGCAATTCCTAAGCAAGGAGCGCAATTCCCTTAGGGGCCTCGTTCGCACTGCCTAGCACTTGTTTAGAAAGCCTGCATTCTACGCTTTGCCTCTCAACACATAAACAACCTTGGGTTTTATTTTTTAGCTCAACATAATTTCATGCACGCTTTTCCATGTAGCTACATAATCTTTAGATTTATCATTTTAATGGCTGCTTAATATTCCATCCAGTTAACGTGCCATAATTTACTTAACTGTTCCCTATTGTTGGGGCCTTAACGAAAATTTGAATTCACCATGTAATACGGTGGGCGTGGGGTTGTGGGGGCTCGTTTTAACGATTACCATTAAAGCATCTCCTGCCCTAATGCGTGCTGTGACTAACCCAGCTTTGGTACGGTGCAAATGCTCTTGGAACAATAAATCCTGTATGAGAGGTGTAGGCACAAGTCCCTTTGATTTAATAGCTAATCTGTTCCCTGCACATGTCTCCCTTTTAGGCTGGTATTTATGTAGGATACCCGTCTCGTCGGAATATTGTGTAATACCAAACAGTGCATTTGGCATATTGTCCCAGGTACTTTATCACTGCTGTCGGGGACTTTTATAAATTAACCGTGAGGATCTGGGGGTGAAGTTGGCTTCTGGCTGTCAGTTCTCAGTCATTTATCCCACTCAGAGTCACTCAGTATCTGATTGGAGTGGAGCTCCAAAAGACAGTGAGCAGAGGCACCCCTGGTTATTGGGGGCCAGTGGAAGTGCATCCATCTGTGGATTGCTTTCGGGTGCTCTCAGATGAGAGGGTCACTGGAAAGTGCTTTGTAAACTGTAGAGTGCGCAGTGGTGGTTGCCGGTCCTGCTTGTGAAAGAGGATGAAGAGGAAGGTGGTTTTCCCAGCTTATCAGCCACAATGTCCTCAGCCCTCAGAGTTTCCCAGGTAGGAAACTAGTCTCACACCTCAGAACCATGTGGAGCGTGATCCAGATGACAAGGACTCTCCAAAGCAGGAAGTAGTGGGTAGATAATTTGGTAAGTTTTGTGATTTACGAAGTTGCCTGCAGTACGCTAAAGTTGGTACCTTAAAGCCACAAAGTCCTACCATTATAGAGCCCTTCCCTTTTCTCTTCGTCTTCCTCCCTCTGTTAAAAGGGAAGCTTCAATCTCAAAACTAATATGTGATCTGAGCTAATGTGTGGGACCCAATAAAAATCACAGTTTGTGAAAGTATGGGACATTGTCTTGTAGGAGACAGAAGTTTAAATGGTCTGAGTACCACATAATGAGAAGAGTTATTTTTCCCTTTTTATTCTTTCTAGAGAGAACTTTTTTTTTTCCAGTTGCCAGAAAGAGAACCTGTCCTCCCTGACCTGCAAATAACATAATGGCTACGTCACTGGACTTCCATGTAGTCGATCGCAGTTCGAGTCCCAGACCTAGTGGCTTAAAATCATGCCGGGCACGTGCGCGTGCGTGCCCAAGATCCTGAGGAGAATAAAGGAGAAGGGATTGTGGTGTGACCATCCCTCCTGGGGGGTGATTTCTCGCTTTCTGGCGAGCACACGTGCCCTATGGTAAAAACCTCTCCAAAAAATACCACCCCGCAGTGGGGTGTGGTCACAACATAATCCTTTTTTTTTTCCTTCATTTCTCCCTCCTGTCAGGATTTTGTGAGGGAGAACACACACCTGGCATGTTCCCCAAGCAACTGAGAACAGAATCCCAACCATGGTTGTCCATGTGGGATCCAGCTTCCTATATACTGTACTTAACCACTGTTCTATGGAGGTGACCCTGGTTATTGTTTTGTTTTGTTTTATTTTCCTTATTCGTGTTGGAAACCATGCACATACATATGTGTGAGAGAGGAACTCCTTTTCAGGGTCTAGTCACACCACAGTCCCCTTCCTTTGATCCTCCAGCCTTCTAGTTCCTGGATACTCATTCAGTACCTAGAGTATTTCAGGCTGACTGGGCCAGAGATTCAAACCACAGTCACCATGTGGGACCTGGCTTTTCTTGGGTAGTGCATCACCACTACACCAAGGAGCCAGCCCCCAAATTATTCTTATTTGCCAAAGAAAACATTTCCATGTTATGCTTGCACTCCCCATGAGCTCTCTGAGCACTGTGAATCTCCCTTTCAGCAGAGAAAAAGCGAGTGTTGGGCGCAGCCTCCCAGCAGGCCACAGTACCCACCTCGCTGGTTTTGTTCTCATTCGTTCTTTGTATTTCAGCATCTCTTCAGCAGAGGATAATGGCCGATGGGATGGTGAATGATTTCCTTTTAAAATGAATTTATTTAATCTAAAAGCTGAGAAGTGGAAAATAACCACCCAGGTGGTACTTGAAAACAGCATCAGTCGTGAAATCAGCATGTGACCAAGTGAAATTTGACAATTGTAGCATAAAGTTAATTAGCGGAAACACTAAAGACCACTGGCTTGACCTCATTGCTGCTGTTTTATCAAGGCGTGTGTGTGGGAACGGGGGAGGTAGGATTTTATCATCCCTAAGAGACGGCCTTGGATCATAAAGCCCAGCGTGAAAGCCGTGTTCCCACCTAGAAGGGCTGACGTCATTCGTGCGTGTCGTATCAGCTACTCTTCACGACACGTAACTCCTGTGGCCCTCCGCCATATCTCAGTGCCAGCAGGACTCTAGAGGTGTTCAGTCTGGTTAGAAGTCAGGCAGGGGGACCAGCAGTTGGTGTAATGGCTATGTCGCTGGAATCTCATGTAGTCGACCATGGTTCAAGTCGCGGATCCGGTGGCTTAAACTCATGCCAGGCGCATGTGCGTGCATACCCAAGATCCCAAGAGGAGAATGGAGGAGAAGGGATTGTGGTGTGGCCATCCCCCCTGGGGGGTGATTCCTTGCTTTCTATCTGTCTATCTCTCTCTTTCTTTCTGGCGAGCGCACATGCCATATAGCAAAAACCTCTCAAAAAAAAAAATAAAGTCAGGCAGGCTCTGGAGAAAGTAGAAATGCAGGGAAGGCATCATAGGGAGCTTCGTAGAGGAGAAAATGGTGGCTTGCTTTTTCTTTTGAAACGAGTATGTGTGGCGGGTGGGGATTTGAGCATCACCTTGACCCAGTCTCCTCTTCTTACAGGTGTAGACTGATGGTCCAAACAGGGCAGGGCTCTGCCCTAGTGGGGAAGACCCTCACTCATCTGTCAAGCAGTGGGCTGGGTGGGGGTCAGAACATACCTGTGAGATGCTCACGGCAGGGGCCTGCCTCTTAGGCTGAGATTATCAGGTGGGCCGCGGCAGGGCACCTTCTGGTGCTGCTGTGAGTTCTGAACTCCTGGGATTTTTTTTTTTTTTTGGAGAGGTTTTTGCTATAGGGTGCTATAGGGCGCGTGCGCTCGCCAGACAGACAGAGAGAGACATAGAGACAGAAAGCGAGAAATCACCCCCCAGGGGGGATGGTCACGCCGCAATCCCTTCTCCTCCATTCTCCTCTCGGGATCTTGGGCACGCACGCACACGCGCCCGGCGTGAGTTTTAAGCCACCGGGTCCGGGACGCGAACTGCGGTCGACTACATGGGCGTCCAGCAACATAGCCATTACACTAACTGCTGATTCCCTGGACGCCTGGGATTTTGAGAGCAAGCTTTGCCTGGTGAGAGCAGAAATGTTGTCTTCAAGGGGCCCAAGCATGATGAAAACAGCCTCCTTGACGGCAGCTCTGGTCTCATGGGACCCCAGGTGTGGAGGCACAAGCCACATGACCTTTACATCCCTACTTTCTTCCTTTTTCCCTGCAGAATTCCAGAGGCAGGAAAGTGTCCGGTCCCAGCACAGAGGCATCCAGTTATATGACACCCCTTATGAACCTGAGGGCCAAAGCGTGGACTCGGACTCAGAGGGCACAGTCAGCCCTCGGCTGCGGGAAAGCAAGCTGCCCCAGGATGACGACAGGCCTGCCGATGAGTACGACCAGCCCTGGGAGTGGAACCGGGTCACCATCCCAGCTCTGGCAGGTAAGCCGCAACAGCAGCTGCTCAGGAGGCAGCTCAGCACTCACTCAGGACGGGGGCGGGTGTGCAGTGGCCCCAGACTCTGGTGCTGTGTTGGAGAATCCACTTGGCCTGTCCTTTTTCCTAGTACAGCTGTGAGTCCTGAGGGAAGGAAGGCCAAGGGGAGATTCTGTGCCTGGTTTCCAGGGCCTTGGTTCCAGTCTTTGCAGTCGTCAGAAACAGCCCGAACGCTCTGATTGTCTCTGCTGTGTCTTGGTTCTGCTGGTGATGCCCTAGCTCACTGAAGTCACGCTTTCAGATTTCACAGGGAGCTTTCTTAGGAACTAAGAGAAAAGCAGTTTGCAGAGCAGCCCTGGTGGGCCCGCTGGAACCCAGTGACCCTGCCTAGTCCTGCACGGCTGAGACGGGCCTCCTGGCTGACCAGGCTGTTATGTGTCCTGCCCAGCTTTAGTAATGAGTTTGCTCAGAGCACAGTCCAGGGTTCCGTCCTGACCTCAGGAGCTGAGCCCACCCTGCCCAAAGGCCCTTCCTCTCCTCCCCACTCCCAGGCAGATTTTCTCGACTCTGGTTATCCATCACTTACCAGAACCCTTTTCTATATAGCTCATGTGGAAAGTGGATGGACCACACACGTCACACGTCATAAATGTACATTCACACTCTTTAATTCTAATCCCACTCCTCAGAGTCTGCTCCGGAGTCAGGGTCTAAAATTCAGAAAAGCATTGTTTATAATCGGGAAAAACTGGGAAGAACCTGGAGGCCAGCAGCAGGGGTTGTGGGATGCATGCGTGTGCATCCCTGTGGTGGAGGAGTGTACATCTGTTCCATGGTGCTGCTTGTAAAGAGTTTACAGCCACCTCGGGAAATGCTCATGTCTAATGTGGAGAGGCGAAAAGCCAGGTACCAAAAACCTTTTAAGCATCTAAGTCTAGGAATGTAAAAAGAGACCGTGGAGGGCCAGCCAGTAGCATGGTGTTTGTGGTGGCTGGATCCCACATGGCCAGATGCACAGGTTCGAATCCCAGACCTGGCGACTTGAGAAATACACTGAGTATGTGTGCATGCATGCCCAAAATCCGAAGAGGAGAGTGGAGCAGAGCCGTCCCCACTGGGGGGGTGATTTCTCACTTTTTCTTTCTCTCTGTCTCCAGTAACTATAACAAACTTTTTTTTTTTTTTTGGAGAAATTTTCACTGTAGGGCGCGGGCGCTCGCCAGACAGACAGAGAGAGACATAGAGACAGAAAGCGAGAAATCACCCCCCAGGGGGGATGGTCACGCCGCAATCCTTTCTCCTCTATTCTCCTCTCGGGATCTTGGGCACGCACGCACACGCGCCCGGCGTGAGTTTTAAGCCACCAGGTCCGGGACACGAACCGCGGTCGACTACGTGGGAGTCCAGCGACACAGCCATTACGCTAACTGCTGGTTCCCACCTTATAACAAACTTTTTAAAAGAGAGAGTGAGAAAGATTAAGTGACTAATTTAATTCTTAGCACATTGAAGGTCATAAAGGGAGAGATTTTATTTGCTTAAAATCCACTTTGCCTTAAATCTCCCCTTTTTTCATACACAGTTAGGCTCTTCCTCCCTCTCTAGTCCCCAGCAGTGAGGCCTCTGCCCTGCCCTCATCCTGGGCCCAGCACCTGATGTGCCAGCTCTTCTGGCACATACTGTCACAGTTCCCTGGACATACGTGCCCTGTACAGATCCCATTTTTCTGCCTAAATGCCCTTCCCTGCCTTATCCTGTCCAGGAAAAGCTGTGCCTCCTTTGAGGCCCAGGTCAAACCTTGCCCTCTCTGAGCCCTCTGGTACGTTACCAGGCAGCTCACAGGCTTCACTGCTGCCTCCCTGGGCTTGTCGAGTTTCCTGCACAGGGCACTAGTAGGACATTCGGTTCTGCATGCGTTGATCTCACCTGCCAGGCTGTGAGCGCCTCAGGGACGGCCTGTCCCATCACCTTTCTTTATCCTCAGCACCTCTGTGTCCCCAGCACCTCTGTGTCCCCAGCACCTGGCCAAGAGCTAAAAATCAAAAGGAGTAGTTCTGTGCATAAAGGTCCTTGGTCACCTCAGGTCACTCCTGTGCAATTCACAGCCTCACTCTTTTCATGTCCCCTGGGGATGGCTGGTACGGGGTTGTGCTCCCTCAAGTGTGGGAGGAGCTCGTGCCGTCCCAGAGCCTGCTCTTTGCAAACACCAGTTTGATTAAAGGACTGAAGGAGCTCATGTAGTGGCTGTCGCAGACACCAGGGGCCTGTGCCATGAGAGCACCATGGGTAAGTGTGGTCTCGCCTTCTCTTGGACTGCCCTCCTGCGGGCTGTGGTCACCCGTAATGCTCTGATCTAGTCTAGTGTCTTGCTGCTCAAAGTGTGGTCCGTAGGCCAGCCACACTGGCATCCCCTGGAAGCTGTTAGAAATGCAGGGTTTCAGGACCAGCAGTTAGCGTAATGGCTATGTCGCTGGACTCCCATGTAGTCGACCGCAGTTTGTGTCCCGGACCCAGTGGCTTAAAACTCACGCCGGGAGCGTGTGCATGCGTGCCTAAGATCCCAAGAGGAGAATGGAGGAGAAGGGATTGTGGCGTGACCATCCCCCCTGGGGGGTGATTTCTCACTTTCTGTCTCTCTGTCTCTGTCTGTCTGGCGAGTGCACGTGCCCTATAGCAAAAACCTCTTCAAAAAAAAAAGAAAGAAATGCAGGGTTTCGGGACCAGCAGTTAACATAATGGCTATGTCGCTGAACTCCTATGTAGTCGACAGCAGTTCAAGTCCCGGACCCGGTGGCTTAAATTAACACCAGGCGCGTGCCCAGAATCCCAAGAGGAGAATAGAGGAGAAGGGATTGTGGCGTGACCATCCCCCCTGGGGGGTGATTTCTCACTTTCTGTCTCTCTGTCTCTGTCTGTCTGGCGAGTGCACGTGCCCTATAGCAAAAACTTCTCCAAATAAAAAAAGAAAAGAAATGCAGGGTTTCATGTCCCACCCCAGACCTGTGGATTCAGAATCTGTCCCAGGAGCCCCAAGTGATTCTCGCGCACGTTCAAGTGAAAAGCACTTACCCTGTGGGACACCATCTTTTCAGAAGGTGCTCAGGCCAGAACTTACCCCCTTCTGCCCAAGGGTGCTTTTCGACCTTCTATACATTCAGATGTTCACATTTAGGTGTCTCAGAGTAGGTCTCTGAGCCCCCAAGTATCCATTTTGGCCTTGGCTTTGTGCCATCGAGTTGCCGTCACAGGCGTGTCCTTGTCATTCAGACTTACTGGGCTGCTGACAGCAGGTGCAGGATCACGTCTGCGTCCGCATCACGTCATGTCTCTAACCTTTGCAGGTCCTGCCCCAGAGCAGATGCTGGTTGTGCTTTCCCATCAGTCTTTGGCTCAGTTCAGGCTCCTGGGGCAGAGGAGGAGGGGGCTTCCCCCAGGAGCTGGAGGGACGCTGTGAGCAGCAGCCTTAGCCATGCCTGGTTCCCCCCGCCCCACCCGGTGTCTGCAGACAGTGTCGGATACAGTACTGGCGGGCACGAAGCACCCATGCTCTTTCCTGTCTCTGGAATAAAACTGAACGGAGAGCTGGTGGGCCGCCTTTCAGGCGCTGGGATATGGGAAGCAGCCCAATGGGTTGCTGTCATGTAGGGATGGCTCCATTTGTCCACCCAGAAGTGGAGCTGCTTGGGATCAGAGGAGAGGGTTCTTACCTGAGTCAGTCATGTGTGTGTGTGTACACACGTGTACATGTGGGTGAGTGTACATCTATGTATCAGTACATGCAATTGGACGTGCTCCTGCTTTAGCAAGTCATGGTGTTGTCCAGGAGTTAGTGTTTGGTGGGGCCCCATCCTTATCACAAAACGTATTCGAAATGCCCCCACGTGGTCTTCCTCTGCTCTCCAAAGCTGTCCAGGACAAATCCTGGGAGCCTGGGGTGCAGGAACTGTAGCTGGGGACTGCTGTTTGGGATGTCATTGGGCAAAATCCTTACCTTGTTTTCATCTCCTGTGTTCTCCAAGGCCGCATGATTAGCTTAGACAGGGAAACCTGCGCTGGAAACCTGGTCAGCAGTTTTAGATTTCCAAAGGATGTGGAGTGTGGGCACGCCCAAGGGCAGAGCAGGCCCCACCAAGGGGTCTCATGGGAATTAGGGGTTCTGCTGAGGGGTAAGAATTTCAGTGAGACCTGAGTGTGTATAATGAGCTACCCATCACTGGTTCTTGGGAGCAGAAGCTGGCGTGAGGCAGGCTAGGTGACAGGACTGGCCCTGCCCCAGAGTGTGGGCTGCTTCTGCTCCAGGGGGCATCTGTCCCTCATCCCATCCGGCCTAGCTTGCCCGACCAGAGGTGGGGAGGGGAAGAGCGATGACCTCCACTCCATCTACAACGCAGAAGTGCTCTCCACTTCACGATGCCCTGCTCTGTATTCCCTGCTCTGTGTTCGTGAGAAGAGGCCCTTTCGGAGGAATGCCCTGGCCTTCTCCACAGAAGCAGCCTTCTCTGCCAGAGGCTTTGGAGGCTTCAGATCAGCTTCAGCTCCAGATGGGCCTTTATGGAAGTCCATCTTTCCATCTTGGGGCTCCCACAGCCTCAGGGAAGGTGAGTTAGCACTTTCCAGTTGTCAGTGAAAACAGCTGTTGTAGAGCATGAGGTGGTCCCAGCTTCTAGGGAGTGAAAGTCTTCCCCTCTCAGAATTCTGGCTGGGATTTGGCATTTAATTAAGGGAGTTGGTGGGTGAGAAATTCCACAAGTTCTGCAAAGAGCCTGGGCCTTGGTTGCCTGCCTTCCCTTCAAGAAGCTGATTCCAGACCTCCCCCCAGCCCCACCCACCTATTGGGACCCCAGCCTCTATCCAGACAGATGCCTGGTCAGGTTTCACTGCTGGCTGCTGGGAGCAGGCTAAGACAAACAGCCCCCCACACCGCCCCCTAGTCCAGGAGAGGTGGTGTGGCTTCCATCAAGCCGTCAGCTTTCTTCCCACCTGGCAGACACACCTGCCTGCCCTCC